TATCCAAAGTGATTGAATTTTTAAGTTTTGGGAAGCGATCAAAGGTGTTATCTGATGTTTTAAAAGATATAGATGGCTCCAATGTTCAAAAATTAAAGAAATATTCGCCTACAAGATTTCTTCAAAGGCAAGATTCTATTACTGGTTTTATTAAAGCACTGGAAGGCATTGTTGAAACTTTAAAAATAATAAGTAGATGGAATGATAATGATACATCTAATATTGCCAAAGAATTGTGTTCATCAATTTATAAAACCCCTTTTATTATATCAATTTTTTGTATGAATTATATTTTTTTAAAAACTGTAAATTTAAGTCGATATCTTCAAAGGGAAAATATCAACATTGTGTCAGCAATGAATGAAGCCAAGAGGCTTCTTAAAATATTTGAAGATGCTGAGGTAAATGCCAACAATATTTTTTTACAAAAATATGAAAGATGTTTAAGTTTGGGTAAGAAACTTAAAATTAATATTGAGAAACCTAGTCTAATCATAGATGACATTTTAGCTTTGGAATCAACTTTTGATTATTATAAAAAAGTTATTTTTTTACCATTATTAAAAACAATTATTACTCACTTTAAATTAAAATTTGCTGGGCATAGCAAAATATTAAAATATTTTAATTTTCTTTTGCCATCATCCTCAGAACAATTAATTATTAACAATAATATAATGCTTAGCTTTAAAAAAATTAGTATTTTTTATGAATCCGACATTATCGGTGGATACGAACAGCTAAAATCAGATACTGAAGCTTGGTATTCTGATCTAAGCACCATCATCCCTACAGATCGTCCCAGTAACCCTGTTGAGGCATTACAATTATTTAAGGAAACTTTAAACTTAAGAGCAAATATCAAAACACTTTTAATAATATTAGCAACACTTCCCATAACTACTTGCACCAATGAGCGGTCATTTTCGACACTGACTCGACTTAAAAGTTATTTAAGGGCAACCTCTGGCCAGGCGAGGACCAATGGATTGGCTCTTCTAAATATCTATAGAGATATTAATCCTAGTCCAAATGAGGTCATAGAGGAAATGGCGAAAGGGCCACTAAGAATTAAGTTAAATATATAAAATATAAAGTTTTTTAACAAAGTATTTATAGTTTTTTTTAATCAAAAGCAATAAAAATATTTTTTTAAATAAGCACTTGACATAAAATTATATTTTGTTATTTATAAATTGTTTTACAATAGTTTATATAAAATTTATGTTTTGTTATATATATAAATTTTATTTTATATAACATTTATTTTAATCTATAATATAATGTGTTATATAATTTGTGTTGCTAAAATTATTAAAAGTGTTTTGATATTTGTTCTTAAGTTTAAAGTTTCCTTAAATAATTAATTGTAATGTCTCAATAGGGTTGCTGGGACGATCTGTAGAGATGATGGTGCTTATATCAGAATGCCAAGCTTCAGTATCTGATTTTAGCATGTCTATAATTGTTCTGAGAATGATAGCAAAAGAAATTAAAATATTTTGCTATGCCCAGCAAATTTTAATTTAAAGTGAGTAATAATCGTAAAAAAAAATAACTTATAATAATCAAAAGTTGGTTCCAAAGCTAACATGTCATCTATTATTATTAGCCTAGGTTTCTCAATATTAATTTTAAACATCTATCACAGTGGCGTAGCTAGGAATTTTTCTTAGAGGGGGTCCATACATAAAAAATTCTGGGGGCTTCGCCCCCAGACCCCTTTAACGGGCCTTCGGCCCTTTTGCCCGACCTTCGGCCGGGTTTATCTTAAAAATCATAACCACATCTTCGACAATATATAATAAATATATTTTTTAAATGCATGAATAATATGTTATTCTTTATAATAATACTACTCATAATAATTTCAATAGTAATATAATATCCTTCCACAAAATCCAGAAAAATATAAATATTAATGGTATTTATTTGATATAAAGTCACTTTTAAGTCTTTTGAACGTATAAAAAAAAAATTTGCTCTGGGAGGGGTCCAAACCCGAAAACCACCCCCGTAGCTACGCCACTGCTTTCACTGTTCCTTTTCCCCATTTTTTCTTTATCTTTCCTTTTTTCTTCACCCTTCAATTTTTATAAAGAAGCTGATTTTGGGTCAATTTACAAAAAAGACACTATTAAGATTTTAGACAAAGAATATTATATAAGCCTCGAGATTTGGAAAAATATAGGTCCAAACATATCTGCCATCTACCAGCAAAATCTTTGGTCTTGCCTATTATTTTGGCTAAAATCTTAATTGGATCGTTTTTAAAAATCGACCCAAATCGGATTTTTTAACAATCTTATCTTAACCCCCCCCCCCTTTTTCCCCTTTTTCTTTTCCTTAACCTTTTGCTTTCCCCTTTTCTTTTCTTCTTCTCTTTTATTTTATTTCCCCCTTTCTTTTCCTTTACTTTTTTCTTTAGAAAGCCTGCCAGAATGGTTCTCCAAACAATATTCGTTTTTATTCGCATATATACTTATTATTTTGCATATAGTAAATATTTGTGTAATTTTTATTTCTTGTTATTCCTGCTCAATAAAATTAGCTATTGAAAATATACTCATTTATATTATGGCTACACATAAATTAATGTTATTTTTTCAATATCCGTCCTAAACTCTATACCCATATGATATTTGTATTTAAAGTCTGATATTTCATGATTGTGATCCTTCGCCATTTGTTATTTACCACTAATTGTGATTCATGAGAATTTAGGATTCAGCGCCATTTGTGATCAACAGACGACACTCCTTTCGGCTGTAGGTTGGGCTAGGGTGTAGTCCTAGTATTTTATATTAATTGTTGATATTTATTGTACTAACATATTTTTTATTTTTTGATTTAGATTAACTTTATTTCTCATTTTTTTACCTTTTGGCGTAATTTAAGTGAAAATGTTAATTTCTTTAAAATAACTTTGATTTTATTATTTTTTTATATAAATCGGCATGACTCAATTCTAATTTTTCCTTTTTTTTTTATTTCTTTTATATTAGCGTAACCTAAATTAAATTTTTATTTTTATATTATGTAACATTCGGATTTATTCAATTTACTAATCGACCGTCTTATTTTTTTTGTGATATTAATATTTAATTTAAAGATACATTTTTAAGATGGTGAGACTTGATAAATTAAAATAAAAGAAAAAGACTTGATATTTATATATTTTATAAATTGAAATAAAATTATATACTAGATATTATATTCTACTGATCAATTCTTACTTGAAGATAAAGCTTAAACTCTTATCCCTAAAAATAGTATCTATCTTATAAAATAATTTTAAAAAATAATAATTTTATAATCTATGAAAAAATTTAAATTTTAAATTTTGTGATATTTTTGTTATAAATGACCTTATATTATTGTTAATTATTCAATATATTTATAAAAATGAAAAAAATATTTCCAAAAGCTGAGCTAAATATCGAAAAACCGTTAGTGGAGGCTTGTGGGGTGGAAGGGGGGGGGTAGCCCCCAAGCATTTATAGATAAAGACTTCTCCCAATAAAATTTCCTATTTATGCCACTGGTGGCTTGCTTCTACTTCAATCACAAAATCTATAATATAGTACTTTTATATATAGAAAGATAATCATTGTTCATACAAAATTAGAATAAAATCCTTATTAAATTTTGCACTGGAAATATTAAATACTGATTTATGTTAAATTAAAATTAATATTGATTTAAAAATATAATATAGATCTACCTCTAATATATATAATGATTATTTTTATCTATTTAAAATTTTTAATGATTATTTTTATCTATTTAAAATTTTTATTGATTATTTTTATTTATTTTATACTAAATTCTTCATAGCGGGCCAACCACAACCCATTAAATAGGTCTGATTATGGTCTGAATTCTTGGAAATCGTTTTTTGTATTCAAACTTTGCTTTTTTCGGCAAGCTGAGTCCGATCCAACCCTAAAATATAACAACCCTATGCCGACCTAACCCAGCATCATTAAAATGCATCGTTGTTGAATTCAAATTAGCATGTAACACTGGGTTTTGTTTCCCATAATATAAAAATTTTATATACAAATTGAACTCTGAATTTCAAAAATTTTAATATTTTATTTTTAAGGGAAACTAAAATGGCATATCACCCGCGCAGTGGCATAGCTACGGGAGTGGTTTTCGGGTTTGGACCCCACCCAGAGCAAATTTTTTTTTAGATTATACGTTCAAAAGACTTAAAAGTGACTTTATATCAAATAAATACCATTAATATTTATATTTTTCTTGTTTTGATGTTTATGGAAGGATATTATATTACTATTGAAACTATTCTGGGTAGTATTATTAAAGTCATTGAGAAAATTCTACTAAATTATAATAACATATTATTTATGCATTTATTTATTATATATTGTTGAAGATGTGATTATGATTTTTATAATAAACCCGGCCGAAGGCTGGGCAAAAGGGCCGAAGGCCCGTTAAAGGGGGTCTGGGGGCCAAGCCCCCAGGATTTATATGTATGGACCCTCTCTAAGAAAAATTCCTACCTACGCCACTGCACCCGCGGATTTTATTGATATACATTTATGATATGTATTAAATTGTTATTTTTGTATTTTTTGTAAAATGTTTATTTTCATTATTATATATTATCAGATGAATTTGAATAACAAAAAAGATATATTATTTTGATATGAAATAAAAGAAATAAAATTGCAAGAATTCTATTACTACTATACACTACAATAATTTTTTAAATAGTAATATTAAATGTCTTTGATAATTGTATAATGTGTATGTTATTGGGGTCGATAGTCATTTTAAAAAAAATTCAAGGTATAAATAAAAACAATAGATCTTTATATTTATATTAAATTTTTCCATTTTATTTTTCAAAAGTTGCCTTAAAGTTAAATTTTGGTTCTGACTGCGTAAATGCCTAGATGACAGAACTGGTTCTGCATAGCTATATTTGACATCAGTTAAAGTGAACTGTCATGTCATCTAATTTTATATTAAGTACAATGATTTCCCTAATTATTAACAGCTGATTACTCAACTAGTTGAGCATTTTCAAAGCTAAGAAAATTATGATTAAATTATTTATTAGGTGTGCATTTATAATTTTATAAGTTAAATATTATTTTATTAGTACTATGAGATATTGCTCAACAAGACCTATTAAAATACCTGCAAATTCTTATCTTACAAAAAAAACAATCGATGAACCGAAGTCTATAAAGTCCACTATAACTATTGCGGATGATGTAAATTATTAATTAAAATAATTTTATGTACATTTAAGAAAGAAGATATTACTTGTTTATCTGGGGTCCCATTAGAGCAGGAAGAAAGATTTGTTAGAATTTATGTGCCTACAAGAAATACCATGCAATCTGGTACTAATAATACTCATAAATGGAAGATTCAATTTGATAATCAAGAAAGATGGGAAAATCCATTGATGGGTTGGACTTCATCGTACATATATATATATATTGTAACATATTAAATTAATTAATAATAAAGAGCTGATCCTTTTTCAAATATTGATGGCACATTGGAGTTTGGGTCAAAAGAAGATGCTGTTATATATTGCGAAAAAAATAGTTTTTTATATTATATAATGTTATTTAATTTCATTTTAAGGATATAATTATGTGATTGAAGAGAAAAGAGATAAAAAAATTATACCAAAATCGTATGCAACTATTTTTTCATGGAATAAAAGAACACGATCTTCCACTAAATAAAACCATCATAATTTAGATAAATCTTAATATGCTTTAAAGAATCATTCAGTGTACCTTTTATTATAAATTTTTTTGGTGAATAATATATACATGAAATATAATAATTAATCTAAATATTTAATTATTTTGGTGGAATTTATACTTTTTAAAGCCATTTTTACTCACAGTTAACACTTATTTTTTTGTTAATATTAGCAATATGATAATCTGTTAACATAACAGCTATTTTATTTTGCACTTCTTTATTATTTCCTACTAATACACTATTCTTAAATTGACCATTTTTGCCTAAAAATTATGAAATATTTAAGGTAATAATTTTATTTAATTAAATTATATTTTATAATTTTATATTTGATCTTTTTTTATCATTTATTTGCAGTTTTCTAGCTTTGTTTGAGTAAGCCATCCCCTCTGATCTCTTTTCTTCACTTTTTACCATATTATTGTTATAATCTTGCTTGTTGTCACTTTTACTCTCATTTGTTGGTTTCCTCAAGGCCTTGATCCTCCAATGAGCTAACCTATTCATCTTGCATCTTTCATTCAACATCACTAACTCATTTTATTCTCATCACCACTCCAGTTGCTTTAAATTAAATCTTTTTAAAAGCTACATGGTAAAATATTATCATGTAGACTATATACTTATATCAATACTAGAGATGTACCGGTACTACTTTTTGAAGACCGATCCGATATTAAATCGGATGATTACCGGTCCAATATAATTTCTAATTTTGTATTCTGTAAAGATACCTCTCTTCTCTTCTATTTTTAATATACTTTTTATCAGTATAACATCTATAATTTAATATAACATAACATAATTTAAACAGGGATTCGAACCTAATTTAGCAAAGAAAACCTGGGTTTTTAAAATAAAAATCGGATCCTGAACCCCATTTATAAAATTTTCCCCCCAAACCCAACCTGGGAATTTTATTTGAACATGGGTTCAACCAGGTTTACTATATTGTTTAAAATCAGATATTTGTATAATTGTAAATACAAATATTAATAATTTAATTGAGATTTTATAATATTTTTAAATAAGTGCTAATAAATTTTAAACAACTCCATTCATTTACGCCATTTTTAAATTTATTCCTAAAGATTTCTATTGGAGTGTTAATAAATTTTAAACAATTAAATTCATTTACGCTATTTATTTTTAGTTTTTAACGTATTCTCAAAGTTTATTAATTAGAGGAAAATGAAAATGAACAAGTCAAAGTAAAAATTATTATATTGGATATTGTTAGACCTGTGCGCCGATGTCTCAATCAACGGCGGCGGATTTTTTATCGGCGTTCGGCGGCGCGCCGATTTCGCTGCCGTCTACTAAATTGTCCGTGGTGGCGGCGGCGCAATATTTATTTTAAATTTTTTTAATGAATATAATTTATAAATCAATTTATTTTTTAATGAATTTAATTTATAAATTAATGTATTACATTTTTTATAATTTATTTGGGCGATCTTTTCTAATAAATTGTTAACATAGTTTAATTGATCTTAAATTATTTCATGTCTCACTCCAATTTAAATTTATGTATTTTCTCATTCTCAGTAATAGACTAAGGAATTGCATTTTTACTCAGATCAGAGTCACATCCAACACATATAAGAAATATCCTATTGATTTTTATTATAATTAAAATAAATTTGGAATGCAAGCAAAATATAAAGTATGAAATATAATAAGTCAGAATTCATTAAAATTATAATTGTCATGAATAAACAGTATTTTATCAAGATTTGTGGGACATAAAGAAGTCCTTCATTGAGTATTAATCCAGCAATGGATCTTTCGCTGTGCAGGTATACAATGAACTTTCCTAGCTACATTAGCAAGCATAGGAAGTTCCAGTCGCGTTTTCTTCCAAAAGATTAACGTGTCCTCTTCAAGGATATTATTTTAGCTGAGCAAAATATGGCATTCTTGTTCTAGATTACTAATATTGTTATAATCGTTACTTGGAAGGGAATGTTTATGAGCTAATTTAGCTATATAAGAGCTTGATGTTTGACCAACTTGAATTTCACTCTATGCATTTCTATCATGCTCTAAAAGTTTTAAATGTCGAATTAAAAATTGCAATGATGTAAAATTCGAATTTAAATATTCTGAAACAACTTTAAGATTTTGAAATCTGGGATCAAGTAGAGTTGCTAATATCTAATGTTCAAAATATATTTTTATTAATGAAAATATAAAATAACTTGAAGTTCAGTTGGGAAACCTATGGTCTAGCTTTTTTTTCCATATTTTCTTTTAAGCATATAATATCTGAGCAATAAGATCTATTGATTTGTATATGAGCTTCTATTTCACTGCGAAATAATAACCCTAAGTTTATTGTCGATCCTTTTTGAGAGGAAAGAAATTCCACCGACTCTCGGAATGGATTTAATACTGCATAAAGCTCATCAATTATATTCCATTCATTATTAAAGAGTTTTAAGATTGTTTTCCTATTTTGTTTAGAACATTATTTATAGAATTTTGTTTACACTGCGAACACTTTCTAGCATATATGCTATGCCAGCGGGTAGGGCAATTTAATTTTAAAGTTTTTGCATTAATTAGATTGGTTGGTGCAATGCCATTTCTATTATTCGATTCATCAGACATATCAGAATGGTCATCAAGGTCGTATCACGTCAATACCGCGAAACTTTTACCGCGAAATGTATTATCGCGAATGCATTATCGCGAATGTCGATTACCGCGAAAAGATATTATAGCGAATGCATTATCGCGAATGCATCATAGCGAATGTATTATAGCGAATATATTAGCGCGAATGCATTATAGCGAATGCATTACCGCGAAAACATTATAGCGAATGCATTACAGCGAATGTAATACCGCGAATGCATTATCGCGAATGCATCATAGCGAATGTATTATAGCGAATATATTAGCGCGAATGCATTATAGCTAATGCATTACCGCGAAAATATTATAGCGAATGCATTACAGCGAATGTAATACCGCGAATGCATTATCGCGAATGCATCATAGCGAATGTATTATAGCGAATATATTAGCGCGAATGCATTATAGCGAATGCATTACCGCGAAAACATTATAGCGAATGCATTACAGCGAATGTATTATCGCGAATGTATCATAGCGAATGCATTATCGCGAATGCATCATAGCGAATGCAATATCGCGAATGCATTACAACCAACATTATCACAATGCAATAGTGATTTATATTTGACAAAATTATATTTAACCCATTTTCCAAAAAACCAGAAAACCAGCTTAATTGTCTATATTTATTTAAAGTAGCGTTTTAAAATTATTTACCTCTAAAACACGTCGTTATTTATGAAATTCGTATTTTATTTAAAAATATGTGGAATTTGGTATACTCAATTTTTTATTGAGACCTCTATCTTATTAAATCTTTTGTAATCGTCATTAATTTTATAGCTTTAAAACATAAAATCTTATCTTTTTTAAATTTAAACATTGTTAAATTTAAAAATAATAAATGCCAACTCCTGTTTCAAATATAAATCTTAAAATGATAAAAAATATATTTAATTATATATTTTGGTGGTTTCAATAGAGATGATATGTGAATTTAGTTCAAATTTAATATTTTGTAAATTATTTTCAAATCATATTATTCTGCCTAAAAGGGAATGCCTACAATAAATATTTTTAAACATAATGATTATGAGACTTTCTGAAATAGGAAAAGAAGATTTTTTAATTTCATATTCTGTCTATTTAATTATTTTTAAATCTCACTGTGTAAATTGGTTTATTATTCATGATACGGTTTAAAACAATTTCAACTTTAAGAGAGACGGAAGGCCACAAATCCATATTTTTATGCCGTTTAATATTATAGTGAAAAACATTTTAATTATGCTTTAATATTATTTACTTATCTTAAATTCCGTATAAAACAATTTATAAAATACAGAGAAAATATTCAAAATAACGAAATTTGAAAAATTTAGGGCAGGGCTTTAAATAATCAGAGCTAAAAATGCAGCCAAAGAACACAGGTATATTAATTTACGACATTTATATTATTTATTTTATTACTAATTATGACATTGAAATATGTTAAATTCAATTTTGTCAGGACTGTAAAACATAGCTAAATTATAATAAAAGTATAATTTTTTTTGGCATTGATAAAGTTATCCTTTCAAAAATAACCCAGCGGCTGAAATAATATTTTTCTATTAAAATCTTTAGACATTTTTGGAATTGGATAAAAATAAAGTTATTACCAAACTATAATTTACTTCTGGCACCTTACTTTAAAAAGATGAAAGGTGCAATAATTTTTTTCAATTTTTTTAAAGATTTATATAAGTTAATTGATGATACTACGAAATAAGATTTATAAATAGATTACATGACTTGTTTATTAACTCAAATTTTGTTATATTTTATTATTCTAAAAAAATAATTTAATTTTTTTTAAATTCTGGAACCCTAACTGAACTTGGGATCAAGACTAGTGCCTGAAATCTAACTCGTTATATTCAAATTTATTAATGTTTACAACCCTTAATATTTTTGATTAGTAATTTTTTTAAATCTCACTTTCGCGTTTCAATTTATATATAGAATTTAATTTTATTTATAAAACTCTTCATATATTATTAAAGATCAATTCACTATATTGCCACAAAAATGAATTTTTCTAACAAAAATCTAATAGAGAATACAATTACAATCTGCTAGCTGCTTATAGAGTTTTATATTTTTACTAAAAAATATAAAATAATATAAAAATATATATTTGCTATTTTATTTTTTTATTATAATTGAATACATTATTGTTAAATTATATATTTAAATTAATATTGGATGCTAGGCCCTTCAAGTACGATAAAATATCGCGATTTCTGTAATCTGATACTATTCTTTTTAGTCTTTCTGAGAGATTCCGGTATTTTTTTCTTGGAGAAGCTTCATCATCACCTCCTTGTAGTTGGACAATTTTTAACTCAGTTAAGCTTTGTTGCTTTTTAAGTCCTTAAAATGATATAAATATTCAATGTATAATCAATTTTCCTTTTTTAATTTAAAAAAATTAAATTATTCTAGAATTTTTTTCTTAAATTTTTTACCTGGAAATTTAATATTATACCTGTTATAAATCTCCATATTGTAGGATGATAGGAAGTCAGCAATGAATTAAAACTCCTGTGCCATCCCTCCACAGAATTATTTGTATTCGCGTCGCCATTAAGTGTGGAATTATAGCAATTCCATAAGGGAATGGGAAAAATTGGGATTAATCTTTCCCTCCCATAAGATTTCCATATATATGTGTTTTCAAAATAATCAATAATCGGCTGTAAAATAACATTTTCTTGATAAAACGGAGACATTATTAATGTCTCAAAAGCCATTGTAACATCTGTTTCTGGCACATAGGCCAAACATACCATCATTTTTAAAAATAAACAAAATTGTGTATTGGTTTTATATTGCATTGATATTTCTGGAAACCTTTGTATTTTTCTCCAAAAACTTTGACCAAAATGAAATAAACATCCTCTTTGTTTCGTTAACGGGAAGACCGATTTGAATGCATTGATTGCCGATAACTCAAAATCGGTCATTATAAAATCAGGAGAGATTGTTACATATGATCGAATAATTTCAAAAACTCGCTTGTAATCCTCACTCCTTTTACCGGTCATTAATATGTAAACTAGGGGGAAAACCGTTTTATTTTTTACTCCGTGAAGCGTATAAAGTTGATGAAAAAGAGGAGGTGTACATTTAAAAGTACCATCGGCGAACCACATCGCACATGAGGAGAGAAATTCAAGATTCCCATCAGTGGAGAATATTAAAAGTCGCTCGTTTATCTTAATTTATAATATAAAATTGCAGTATTAAAAGTTTAATCTAATAATTTTTAAAATAATTACTTGCAATTTACCAAATTTTGATTTTCAGTTGAAATATATATAATTTAAACAAATTGTTCAATTTTACCTCATCATCATGAATGATAAAATTCTCGCCTTTCTCGGTTATAGTATATTCGTAGGGTAAAATTAATTCGGCCAAAGAAGTTGGGCACGGTGGTGGATGATTGTGAGAGCTTCTTGTACGGTGTATTATCCTTTTAATAAGGCTGGAGTTAGGAATCTTCATTGCGATGGATTCATCTAGATTTGCCGATATCTCCGAGATAATCATACTGGGAGTATCGATAGTTGTTTTCGCTTTATGCTTAATTTCGTTAACAATTTTTCGTGACTCAGTTTGAGCAATATCCGGAATATGATTGTGCTCGAATTTATTTGGAATTTTTTCATTATTTCGGCATGTAGCCTGGCCATACACTTGTGAGTATCTCTCTCTACGCACCTATAGTAGTAGGTAGGAGGCACTTTTTTATCTAGCCTGTAAACAAAGTTATTATATATTTCTAGATCTAAATTTTTATAACTATCGGACCGCTTGAAGAATTTTTATAATGCTTTATATCATTCGTACCTTCAAAAGTAACTTTTTACACTTTTACTATTTTTCAAAAATAAAGATTAATATACAATTTTACCACACAAAAATCATCTTATATAAAAGAAAAAATCCTATTTTATAGAATAACAATTTACCCGAACAAAATTGATAATATGAATACTTCAAAATATGATCGTAATCAAAGTGGTGCTAATGGGGCTATTTTTATGGGGTTAGGTCGAACCTTTTTTTTTTGCTATTTTTTAAAAATTTGACATGCAAAAAAAGCCAAGGAGAGACCAACTAAAAGAAAAAAATCGAAAAATGTTATTATATGATAAATAATTGTTTGGTATACAAATAAATTATATCAAGCATAACAATCAAGACTGCTTTCAATGTCCGTTATTAGTTACTACATGGCTTTGCAATTTTATTGTTTTTTTATTTGCAAAGATTGTGAATGTTTTAAATGATTTTATATAACACTTTTATGTTTTAAATCATTAAATTTATCCTAATAAAAAAATATATAACTTTTATATATGGAAAATTAAGAAGAGTTTATAATAGCCTCGACCAAGGGCTTGTTCGTCCCCGGGTAGGGTTCACTCGGTTACCAAAAAAAATTCCAGGAAAAATGATATTTTGAAAGAATTATTAGAGATGTATTTTTGAAATTTAAACATATCATAAAACTAATAGAGCTGAACAAAATGAGATATTTTATATTAAAAATGATAAAGTACTTATAATTTGCCTTTAGGGTTCGCCATAACCCCGTTCTCCCCTACAAGTTTTCAATAAATTAAAAAGAAAAAACTTGATGTTTAATATTTAAAATGATTAGATGAAAAAGAGAAATCTATTTTATTACTTAGAATCTTTTTTATATATTTTGAGTCAAAAAAAAGAAAAGCCTTAGCCTTAATTTCAATAAAAAAATGTTTTTAGAGCCAATCCCCATTTTAACTTAATTTTCAGATTTAACTAAGTCAGTCGAAAAGTCGATAAATATAAAATTGTAACTTTCATGAAACTCCATTCGCGATATGATAATGCATTCGCTATAATGCATTCGCTATAATGCATTCGCTATAATGCATTCGCTATAATGCATTCGCCATAATGCATTCGCGATAATTCATTCGCTATAATGTATTCGCTATAATGCATTCGCTATAATGGATTCGCTATAATGCATTCGCTATAATGTATTCGCTATAATGCATTCGCGATAATTCATTCGCTATAAAACATTCGCGATAACATTTTCGCGGTATTACATTCGCGCTAATACATTCGCTATAATATTTTCGCTGTATTATATTCGCTATAATGCATTCGCGGTAATGCATTCGCTATATTATATTCGCGATAATGCATTCGCTGTAATGCATTCGCTATAATATCTTTTCGCGGTAATCGACATTCGCGATAATGCATTCGCGATAATACATTTCGCGCTAAAATTTTCGCGGTATTGACATGTAACCCATCAAGGTATGGATCAGAATCATTAATATCCAAGATATTACCTGTCTCATAAATTGACTGCAAACATTTACGATGTTCAACCTCAATTTCACATTCCAAATCTACTCGATATCTAAGGGCTGAAATAATTTCTCTAATTTTTTTTAATGAGAATATCAATTTTGGTAACTTTTTTATGCCATCAACTGTAACCAAATTATGAAGTCCCTAAGCATAAATGATGCTCATAATTCCCTAATCTGACGCTTCTTTTGACATTGGCTCCAGCATCGGTTACCATTTGTATTATTTTAGCTTTTAAATGGAACTCCTCTTCAATACTATCTCTCAGATAATATTGTTTCCCCAGTATGCTTTTGAATCACTTTCTAGTTGCTAGGGTAAAATATTTTAAATCAAAATTTCCATAAATGATGAAGACTAAATGTGATATAATTTCGACGCTTGAAATAATCGGTCCATAAATCAAAAGTGATAGAACAAAATTTTGATCCAGAATCAATTAGATTTAAAACATGGGCCTTTATAGATAAATAAACATCGTCTAGCGCACCCCGCCTAATGGTTGTTCTATTTGGCAATTCTGACGAGGAATCAATTATCTTATATTTCTATTTTTTAGGCAATTTATTTTTTAATAATCATTATATATAAATTTTAAACCTTTAGAAAATCTGTCATTCCTTTATTGTTTATAGAATCAAATGGCATTAAATCTAAGCAGCACATCAAAACATAATTTCGCCCTATTAGATTTCATATTTATTTTAAACATTTAAAAGATATTTGAAAAACATCAAAATAATTAGAGCTGGAATGAAACAAATTATAAATTAGATTTAGTTTTAACTTTCAAAATAAAGTTTTACATAATTAATTTAGTAAATTATATATTAAGTTTATACATTAAAAAGACATTTATAAAACATAATAATTAGAGCTGGAATGAAACAAATTATGAATTTGATTTAGTAGTAACTTTCAAAATAAAGTTTTACATAAATAATTTAATAAATTATATATTGAGTTTATATATTAAAAAGATCTCAAAATAGAGCTGGCAATAAATAAACTAAAAATTTAGTTGTTTTGAACTTTCAAAATAAAGCTTAATAAAATTAATTTAACAAACCAGTTAAATATTTTAAATGAATAATAAGTAACTATGAGCCATTTTTTATATTATTGCTGCATCTTGCTGTTGGTTTTAAAAATATTTTTAGACTTTGAATGGATTTATTATTATTCATTTTTTCTGATAGTTTGTGATAATTAATTAAGGAAATATTAAAACATTTCCCTTGATCCTTCTCTATTTCAACAAGAATAAGAACATTTCAATAAAACTGTTAAAATTTTTTCCTCGGATAGTGAAAAATCCAACGATGTAGCTAGCCACATAATGGTAATAGCTGATTCAGGGTTATCAATGATTTGCATGTCAGCTTTCTGCTCTGAAAATGCCTCTGTAAATTTTGGCAAAAACCAAAGTTACTGAATTGAGGCAGCACAATAATGAATTAATACTAATTGGCTGTATATGCCATATACTACATAATTCTTGCAAGAAGGCAATGAATGTACTATCTGTAGATGTCGAAATAATTGTGATGAAAAATTTAGGTCATCAACTAAAAGAGTTAATGAAGAGTTGGTGGAGTGGTCTGACTTGGAATGGAGTGAGTTGTTGCGATATGTACCTTTCAGGTGGTTATCACTAATACCTGCCATCGATAGAATTTTAAAATTTTACAAACCCTTAAAAAAATATTTTTTAAATAAAGATTTTAAAAGCTGTCCTAAAATTTTGAAAAATTTATTCGGGTATGAAATGGCCTAAGCATATTTGGGATTCGTTTCACATGTAGGAAATCTACTTCATGCAGTTAGTATTCAGTTGCAATCAGAATATTCTTTATTAAAAAAGATTCACAAAATCATGCTACAGCTCTGTTCATCTCTACAGTTAAAAATTGATAAAAAATTCTATGACGCTATTGCTAAAAATATTATATTAAATGTTCAAATAATACTCTAATTAATACATTTTTAAATGAAGCAGGTATTTTTATTAGGACAATTTTAGAATTTTTTTGATTTTAATAATTCTATTTACAAATGTATAAATATTATGACATTGGAACAGAAACCATCAATTGATGGTTTTTATAATTTAATAAATTTATTAAAAATACTGAAAGACATTGGTGCCTTGTTTGTGGAGATTGTAATTCTCTTTATTTTTTATGATTCGCCAAAATACTTAAAGTTAGATGGTCTAAAAGCAGAGGATAAATAGATATAATTTTTTCGTAATAACGATAAATCCCCATGCTTGGAAAAAATATGCGAGTATGTCTTGTCCTTACCTCATTCTAATGCCTCATCCTTGCGCATTTTTAGCCTGATGAGGACTGCCTGGAAAAATGAGAGAAATCGGATTGCTTTAACAACATTAGAGGCCGAGCTAATGGTATACAAATATATAATTTGTCATGCCAGGTATTTTATAAATATCTCAATAACGACGGTAAACATTTAGTTCTATTATTTAAATCTCAATATAATTAAGTTTTAGCAATGGCGCCATAAAACTTATTATCAATTTTTAACTGTAAAGATGAACACATCTACAGCATAATTTTGTGAATCTTTGTTAAGATTCTTCTGATTGCAACTACACATTAACAGCATTTAGTAGATTTCCTACATGTAAAATCATTCCTAAATATACCTCTGCATTATTGAAAAAAATTTCCAAAATGTTAGGATAGCTTTTATAATCTTTATTTAAAAAATATTTTTTTATAAGTTTATAAAATTTTAAAATTCTATCGATGGCGGGTATTAGGAACATATCCCAACCAACATTGTGCTGACTCAATTCTGTAAATACACTCTGTTTTTACCAAATTCACTGAGGCATTATCAGATCATAAAGCTGACATGCAATTTATTGATAATCTTGAATTTGCTATATTTACCATTATATGGTTAGCTATGTCTTTGGATTTTTCACTATACGAGGGGAAAGAATTTAATAATTTTATTGAAACGACCTTAATTTTGTTAAAATAGCTAAGGATTCCCTTATTAGATGTTGTTAAAATTTCATATGTATGCCCTATGCCTATAAATAGGCTACGCAAGGGTAATTGTTTACTTTTTGGTATATTTTTACTTTAACAAACAATTTATATTAACCCTTGCGTAAGTAGTAGGATATACCTCTGTTTTTTACGGAACTCACGCTGCTAAATTAATTAAAATAAAATTATTTTTAATTAAAATTTGTTGTTAATATTAAAATTTCTTTTAAAGCTAAAAATATCCAAAAACGGGATCTAATACTAGGAAGAAAATGGAAGAAAATGCTTCTAAAGTAGACATCTAAGATGTTCGTGTCATAGTTAATGATAAGTTTAATCAAACAAAGTGCGATATAAACAACATCAATTCCAAATTAGATGCGATCACCCAACAGATATCGGAATTAATAGCCCTTTTTACCGCGCAGAGAGAAAGAGAGGCAGCTATATCTATTTCTCCTTCGATAGCCGAGAATAGAACAAAAGGTCAGGTCAACCCCTCTTGCACGGGTAGCAACATCCAATCCACAAGCAAAGATGTCAAATATTTTTCAACTTATCAAGAATTGTCAATCGATCTAACAAGAGAATCCACGGAATTCATCCTAACAGAGGAAGAAATTAGGACACTTAATATTCAAGGAGAAGTTGACAAGAAAAAGCTCATTAGAACGGCAAAGCACTTCATGAACGCTATATGTCTGGCTGAATCAATGCCTAACTTCCAATTAAAAGGACGGGATGTGTATGAATTTCCGGCGCTCAAGTGTTACGTGAAGGAAATGAGCCTCAATTCGTCTCTCGATTACCTCAGAGCAATAGCATCAAAGGCTCAAATTTATGCCACATCAGTAGCGTGGGGATGGGACAAAATAAAATATGAATCTCAAAATTCCATATGTAGATTCGTAGGAGGAGCCCCGCCGGAGCCATAACAACCCTTCGGACCAACCCTGCTTTCGGCGGTGGACGTAAACAGGGTTCAGCTACAAAAGGAAAGGTCGTTACCACCGACGAGGACGAGCCTACAATCATCGCAACCAGTAACAGAGACGGTGTCAAGCGAGAAACCAAACCGTAAGTAATTTCGTACAAACGCTCCCTCCATCGGCATAACAATTAGGGATCGCGGAAGCCCTGGCGCCCTGGGCGAATACTTGCATTTCTGCATTGGACAAGGAACATATCCGCCAATGGATCCGAGATGTCAGGCGCCAAAGTACTCTCCAGGAGGGGCGCCAGAAGAGGAGCATCCCGATGAAGATGACGTTGAGGACGACGACCCCGATAACACTTTTGATCTACCTGTGACCGAGCAATTCGAACACGAGAGGGAACCCATAATCCTTGCGAACGTTTTTATGGATAGGGTTTCTCCATATTCTAGCACAGTCTTGCCTCCGTCAGCGCCGACGGTCGACAGCGCAACGATAGGTCGTTTTAATAGATTGCTAAGACTCATGGGTATAGATAAAACAGACAGGGCAACATTAAACCTCAATGCGTCGTTGGATTTGGCTGCCTTTATCCTCAAACCGCATCCCGCACAATCCCCTTTTACCAGAAGAATCGCATTCAGAGGATTTCCCAAGTTTGACAACCAGGCAATCGCGGACCATGGGGGTTATTTCCACAACAGGTTCATCAGGCTAGCGTCGAGATACCAACCAATTATTGATCAATTGGTGAATGCTGGGGTAATTGAGCAAACCGATACCACATTCTGTTCGCCGCTATTTTTAATCCCAAAGCAGGATGGGACCCCCAGGGTAATCTCGGATTTCTCAAATGTGTCCAAGAATTTCATTAAATACCCGTTCAAGCTGAAGACCATCCCGATGATAGCGCCTATGTTAGCAGGAGCAAAGAAAGCGACAAAAATTGACCTTAAGTCAGCATTTTATTGCATACCATTGGCGCAGTCAAGGCGGCGATTCTTCGGATTTGCGACAGCATCGAATAAATACCGGTACAAAACCTTACCCATGGGAGCCAGCTTTTCGCCCTACGCATTGCAAAACATCGTTCTCGATCTATGTAACAAGACAGTCAAACGAGCAAATTATTCCGTTTACCTCGATGATGTTATAGTCTTCCACGCGAACGAAGAGTATTCGAATATACAATGGCCTTATTGGACATGGCATCAGCGTTGGGCCTGACAGTCAACGTCACGAAGTCTATCACGATACTATCAGGTAAGATAAGATACCTGGGTATAGACATGGATTTCGAGAACAAGACCGCAACGGTTGACCCGGAAAACAAAAAGCGCCTTCGCTTCTGTCAACTAATATTATACAAACACACGTTGCAGGCGATGTCATTCGAAAGAGATATAGCGCTAGAAGTTCTGGGGATCCTTAATTACTATACTTATTCAATCACGGGACTATCCAAAGTATTCGCCCCGTACTACCACACGATGTTGGATAAGGAAGGAATGCCTCCCATAGACTACATTAGGGCTTACCCCAAAGCAGTTGATGCCATCACGCCCTTAATGAAGCCATTCCCGTTTACTTTCCCAATCAATGCCATTATTCATGACGCTTCCAACACACACATTGGAATTGTAGAAGGACTTAAAGATAAATCGTCCTTCACATTCGAGGAAGCCAA